CATTTGATTATCTACCTTTTCTGATTTTCTTAGCCATTAATCAAATCGTTTCAAAAAGTTTGAAATTTCAATCAATAATTTGCATCAATAGTGATTAAAAGTAAATTATCATTTAATTATCATTTAGCTAAGAACTAAGGATTGCAATTATTATATATATATATTTTTTTTTCTAGAAATGAATAAAAGAAGTCAAAAGGATTATTAGATTTGCGTTACAGATTTTTGGAACTTTTACCGAGCAAAAAATGGAATACTTTTAAAATGAGCAACAGATTATTGCAATTTTTTTGCGAAATAGACCAAAATAAAATATTAATAATATATGGTATACTGTGGCGCGTGATGATTATTATGAATATTTACAGTATAAATTTGAATGTTACAGTAACCTTTCGATAAATTTAAATGTTACAAGTGATATTACAGTAAAAAATAATTTATGTCAAATAATTTAGCCTTATGCACATCATCCTTGAACTGATATATGCTTACAAATATTTGAATGGAAGTATTGCATGATAGCTACCGTAGAATCTTAAGAATTTCATTTCTTCCAGCTTTATCCTTCATCATACTTCGTCTATCTCATTCTGTTTCTACTCCTTCTTCTTTTTCATAAAATTAAATATTAAAATTATTTCACAAATTATCCTTTTTTTTCCCACTCCTCTTTTAAATGAAATTATGGCAGAATAAGTTGTTTGAAAAAATTGATTTTCAAATAACAATTCTTATAATCAAATGTATTTTTTAAAGCACTACATTCAAGCTTGAAATAAAAGTTTAAAATTTGCTTTTATTTTCTTTCAAAAAAAAAAAAAGCACGATAGAATTAGCAGAAAAATTATCTCTGAAAATAATTATTTCAGTGTTATTCGATCATTTCTTTTTTTTGGAATCAAATTCATCATTAAATAAACTTTTCTTTCCTAATTTTTTGCTTGCTTTTTCTCTATCTGAAATGATAATTCTCTCATTCTTCTTTTCTTCGAATTCTTACAAACCATTTTTATTTCAAATTAATTGCAAAATTTGACTATTTGATATATTTTTAAATTTTAGGAAGTTAAATATTCAAGTGTAATTTGTTTAATATGAAATTAAAATGTTTGCTCTAATCTTATCGACAGATTTTTCAATTTCTCAATTTTTCTTTTTTTTTTTAAACCCGAGATAACAGTAACGTGATTTTTAACAATTCAGTAAACCCATGCTATCAATTTCCATTTTATTTTAATTTTTTCCTATTTTATCTAATTTTCCGTTTTTTTTTCTTTTAAACAAAACTTTCGGCCACATATTTGGCCAGTAAGTACATATAGCAACTATAAAAAGCAAATAACCTTTTTTTTTTTTTCGAACATGCATTAATGTGTAATGAGTTAAAAATACATACGTAACTTATGTTTGAGTACAATAAAATCCGATAATTTTAGAAGTGTTAATTTTTTCACAAATAGCATTAATTAAAATTAAGACTAAAGAATTAAAAAGGAAGACAATTTTAAAATAATAGAAAGTTAATTTTTGGCAGAAAATTTCGATGATTTTTTTTTTATTTTTTTTTAATAATTTAAACAATATTTAACAACAATTGAATTAACACTTATAAATTTTGCAATTATTAGAGAAGCAAAAACTAAACATATGATGAATGTTAAATGTTTAACGGATATTGAAATTATTGAAATATCATTTCAATCTAAAGTATTTTTTTTTCTTTTTTTCTTTTAAGAAAAAAAGAAAAAGGAAAAAAAAATACTGTTTTGTGCTATTATTTTGAATGATTCAAAATGAAAATGAAAATGAAAATGAAATAAAAATGAGCAGTTTCTCAGTCATTTTCAACGGTTCAACAAATTTTTTAAGCAATTTTCCACCACGTCCAATTAACATATACTGAAAACAATTCATCGTTGCCTTATAACGAAAGCAATTTGCTTGACGCATTTTCACTTTCATCACACATTACTAAGAGATCTTTTATCTATTTCATCCTATTTCTCTCTCTTTTTTCTTTTTCATTTTCGAAATTATCATTCTTCTTCATTTGCTATTGAGTATTAAAATTTAGTTAAAGTTACGGACTTTTTTTTTTTCCAAAGAATACTTCGAAAATTTTCGAAAATATAATTCAGTATGAAACGAAATTTGATATCTTTCCTAAAATATTTAACTTTAAATAGTTGAAAAATTACTTGAAATCTTTTCTTTTTTTTTATTTTTTTATTTTTTTTTTGAAGCTAAATATTTGTACTAACTTATATCATTTTTATAATTATTAAAGTATTAGTATCGTAAAAGGAAATTTTTCTTTTTTTTTTCAACTTAAATATAACCATTATTAAACAACAACAACAACGACAACAACAATAACAACTGTGACATTAATTTTGAGAAGAGTAAAATAATACGATATATAGGATTAACAAATTATGAATTCGTCGAAACTAGTTATACCTTTCATTACGGATCATTTTTACGGTATGGACTAGTGACTAGTGAAATATATATATATATATATATAATTTACGGTATGGACTAGTGAAAAATGAAAAATGGTAAAATATGAAATGATAAGGAATATTTGATATTTAGTGAATAGGATATGGCAAATATCCCTACTTGTTGTGAGGAACATTTGTTAGGGTGGGAAACCGT